CGTTGGCGGTGGCATCCGGTACATGGCAGAGGGAGGCGTCGACGGTGCTGGATGCATCCCGTTGCCCGTACCTGAAAATCGTCCATCGCTCGTCAGAAATATTTTTATTTGATGGTCGTTCTTCATCATCGTGCGAGAACGGAATCAAACCAACGTAGGTAGGTTTGAAAATCTGAATTATCGTAATTGAAAAGATTGCGAAACAGTGAAGAGACAGCTCCAATATATAAATTGAATTTATTTGAAAACTTTATTTATTTGAAAATTATAGACCGAAGGAAAAAATATTCGATGTTTCAGTAAATTGTGCTTTTAATCTTGTTCGTACGATACCCAACGGATTTTTCTGTCGTCGGATTAATAGATAAACGAGTGTTCGAAAGCTTTATATTGAAAAGAGCAAAAGTTTATTGCTAGGAATATTAATTGACTATGAATTTATAGCACGCGATACTAACCTTGTTCGTATTGTACCCAGAGGGTTTATCACCAGGCAGATTAATAAATTAATTAACATTCGAAAGTGCGAAAGTTTATTTTACTACGAATATTAGTTGACCGTAAATTTATAGTTCTAAAATGTTCCAAAAATGTGGATAGATTTTTATTGATTTTCACTTGATTCTCGTTGGTTTCTCTAAATTACTGGAAAGTGGAGCTGCCCTCTTACTGTAACAGTCTCTCTAATTCTCGAGTTTCTAAACATACTCGAAGCCCGATGCTGTTCTCGTACGACGGTGCAAAATACAAGTTGATCCCTTAGGATTTAGTCTTCCTCGAACGTCCGAGGAAAAGCAAGAGGAGAAGGTTCTCACGAATCGAGAAAGATCGTACATTAAATTAGCCAGGGATTTCGACGATAAAATTGCCGTCTGTAACGATGTATTCGTAATCCTTATCATCGTGCGAAAACAGTTTTATCATTGGTATAACTTAACAATCCGAGTAAAGAAAGTTGCGGATACGCAAATCACGACACTGTTCTCTCACGATGATACGAATTACAACTCAGTCACTTAGGATTTAATCTTCGTCGAACGTCCAAGGGAAATCAAGAGGAGAGAAGGTTCTCGCGAATCGGAGAGGATCGTACGTTAAATCAGCCAGGAATTTCGACGTTAGGACGACCGTCTACGACGGTGTATTCGTAATTAGCTGGAACCTCGAACGTTCGATGCAATTCTCAATTAAAGTTGTTTCCTTTCATTCTCGAGACGACCTCGGCTCGGTTTTAATTCAACCCTAGCAGCTGTCTCGGGATCAATTAAGGATTAGCACAGGTTAACTCTTTCTTTCTCCCTCTCGAGGCAATTTGGTGCTTCGCCGATCGATATGTCGGAGTATACCGGAGTATATCGGATGGAACTGTAAGCGATCCATGCGATTGAAACCATCGTTAATTCACCGTGTTGCAATTAGTCGAGTGAATTTGAGACGAAGAGGACCAAAACCACCATGCCAGACGCGTTGTGTTTACGGAATCTACCATTCAGGTTAGTTTCAATTCCATTTTCTGTTAGTTTCCCGCCAATGAAATTAGATCGCAAGAGAAATAAAAGATAAAAAGACGATAATTAATCCGACGCTTCAGAAGTGCTGGTAGTCGTGCAATAAAACTGCGTGAAACAAGCTACGAATTACCTTCCCGCGATAACGCACGCGTTTCCTCTCTAATGAAAATGTTTGTGCGTGCAAAGGGCTGCGCAGTCATGCTCGTACGCCCGTTGGTTAATGATGAAAAAATCAATACGCGCTAATTCCTCGCGGGCTGGCGAATGAAATTAATTTTGTTAGAAAAAGAAAAAAAAAAGAAGAAAAAGAGATTAGTCGGGATTAACGAAGCTATGACGCGAGTGTGCGCTATCGTCATGCAGCGATGCAAACGAACGAAAGGACGATTTCGTGAAACGTTTGACTTCTGGAGGAAAAAAAAGAGTTCAATTTTCGACGATTCATCGACGATCGATCCACCGCACTGAAAGCTGGCATTCCGTGTTAGGCATCGAAGCTGCAAAACGAGCATTAAACGACGATACGAATTAGCATGCATATACAACATCAAACATCGAGGAGCCATGACGAAAATAAATAGGGTACATGAAAAAAAGAAAAAAACTTTGTAAACCCAAAAAAGGAGAATATAGATGTAAAAGCAAGCGGGAACGACCACGTACAGATAAACAAATTGATTTCCACAAAACGTATTAAAAAAAAAAAAAAGAGAGAGAAGTGAAACGGGAGGAGTATGGTGTGGGTGGTGTTAGTGGGAATAACCTGAAGCGTAATTACATCCTGCTGATCGGTCGTTTGGTCAGTGAGACTAAAAAACTCGACCTACTACTCGTAATTGAAGTGTAACCCCATTAAACGTACGATCGGCCAATTCAGCGATCGTCTCTGACTGTTCGATCCAACGATCGGCATGGTTCTTGTGTCTCCAGCGTCGTTACGAATGAAGGACGAGTACTCGACGCATCGATCCCGAGTCACCGACACAGGGGGTATAACGGAACTGCGAATACCGGAAGAATTCGATCGGCGACCGTACGGTACCGAAGAGAATGAAGGACGACGGGAGGAGAAGAAAGAAAAGCAGTTCTGCAGGATAAACAGGACGGAGGGAACGAACGACGCTGGGACGAAAGCTTCGAAATGCAAGAAGAGGAGGTAGGGAAGTAGTAGTAGTAGTAGTAGTAGTAGTAGTGGTAGTAGTGGTAGTAGTAGTAGTAGTAGTAGTAGTAGTAATAGTAGTAGTAGTAGTAGTAGTA